ACGAACTCAAGAAGAAAATCATCAAGAACAAGTTGATTCACATGTTAATCAGGACAAGGTATTCTAGAAGGGGATGTTATTGGACTATCTTACATGGTATGCTTAACGAACATGTCTCAAGGCTGCCTTTTGAAAAAGATATGGTCAGACAGGAAGGAGACAGGAGTGAGACTGGAAGAAGTTCAGAGAGAATAAATGTGAAAAGAATAGTCATTCAAGGCACTAAAGTGACCTAAGATCGCGAAGTCAGAAGTTCGAAACCTTGCGAGTTGGGGTGGTGTTTTTTTTTTTTTTTACTTTCGAACAGTTAAAAAAAGGTCACGTGAGCTACGAGTCAGATGAAGTTGAGAGCTGACGGGTGGTCAGCTGGTGTTCTACAATGCTAAGAAAGTGCAACAGAACCCCTGCTTAGAAAGAACACCGCTGCCTAGCATAGAATGACAAAATTTGGTTTGAATGAGGATGCTGAACCACTCTTAATTGTATATTTATTTAAAACGCATGATAAGAAAACCGTTAAGAAAAAAGAAGAGGTCTGGGGTGGGGCCTCACTGGCGACCACCTGCCACTTCCTTACCAAAGCAGGATTGGCCACCTTGGTGCAGTACTTGGCCACTTCCTTACATGACTACAGCAATTAACCATTGGCCCTCAGCACCCAGCGGCTGCGAAGCAACTGTCCTAGGCGGCGGTCAGACCTGTGACACAGCGAAGGGTGCCAAGAATGTCTGGGTAGGACAGGCTGCCATTGGAATCTGAACTTGACTACCTTTGACACTAGAACAGCGATCTAGGAAAGCTAGTCTAGGTGTCCTATTCGAGGATTTGTAGGGTGTTCAATGAGATTTAATAGGGCTCAGCAAAGGTAGGAGGACACACGATGCTTATACAATGCTGATGAACGAACACGTCCTATGCTACCGTGGATTAATTGATAGAAAAGAAGTGGGGGTGGGGTTTCTTATACATATACAAGAATATTGCAGGCAACATAGAGGAATACTATAGCACCAGTGAGAGGGCGGCAAGTATCATAATTAAGTTTACAAAAGGTGCAAGATGAAGGTGCTTCAGGCCTACGCGTCTAGTATATCAAGCCATGATGATAATTTGATGGAATGCTTCTATGAAGACGTAGTGTCAGCCATTATTAAAGTAAAGTCAAAGTATACTGATCTGATGGGCGACTTCAATGCCAATATTTGCAAGAAACAGGCCGGAGACCATTCAGTGGGGGAATACGGCATCGGCTTTATAAATGCCAGAGGAGAGTCATCAGTAGAGTTCACAGAATTTAATAACTTATGGATCTTGAACACCTTCTTCAGAAAACGGGCTAACTGTAAGTGGACGTCACTAACTCCTAATGGCGAAGCTAAAAATGAAATAGACTTCGTTTTGTGTGTAAACCCAGGCATTGTACAAGATGTAGAAGTAGTTGGTGTGATCCGATGCAGTGACCATAGAATGGTAAGAGCTTGTAGTCACCTAGATTTGAAAAAGCAAAGACGAAAATAAATACGCAAGAATCCAAGTAATGAACTAGCGGTGAGAGTGAAAGTACAGGAATCCAGAGTTTGGCTTCAGAATAGATTCGAGTTACTAAACGAGGTAACCGACAATAGCGTTGACACAATGAACGATAATCTTACTTGTATCATCAAAAAGTGTGCAATGAAAGTCGGAGGTACAGTAACTAGACAGGACACTGGCAAACTATCTTAGCATATGAAAGATCTTATTGAGAGATGACAAATTATGAAAGCCTCAAATGCAACCAACAACATATAGCTACCGTAATAGAGCTTTCGAAGTTAATCATTAGGCGTAAAGTAGCTGACATCAGAAAATACAACATGAAGAGAATTGAGCAGGATGTAAAAAGCGGCAGAAGCCTAAAAGCTGCCAAGGCAAACTTATGCATAGGCAAAAACCCGATGTATGCATTAAGGAACAAGGAAGGCAATGTCATAACCAATATAAATAGGATAGTTGAGGTGGCGGGAGAGTTTTACAAAGAGCCTGTACAGAAGGCAGAACAGCCAGAATAATATTGCGAGAAACGAATGTCCAGAGGAATTCGACATTCTACCAGTAACGACAGGGGAAGTAAGAAAAGCTTTAAAAAAAATGCAAAGAGGCAAAGCCGCTGGTGAGGATAACAATGAACCTCCTGAAAGATGGCCGAGAAATTGTGCTAGAAAAATTAGTCACCTTATATACAAAGTGTCTCTTACCAAAAGGGTACTAGAATCTTGGAAGAACGCCAGCATCATCATGATCCATAAGAAAGGAGACGTCAAGGACCTGAAAAATTACAGGCCGCTCAGCTTACTGTCCGTTCTCTACAAACTATTTACAAAAATAATAGCTAATAGAATTAAGGTGACATAAGAGTTCAACCAAAGGACCAAGCAGGATTTCGTACATGCTACTCCACAACAGATCATATTCATACCATCAATCAGGTGATAGAGAAATGCGCAGAATACAACCAACCTCTATACATAGCCTTCATAGATTACGAGAAAGTGGTTGACAGTCGGGACATGAGCAGTAATACAGGCACTACGGAATCGGGGCATCGAAGAACCCTACATAAACATACTGGAAGAGATATGCAATGAATCCACAGCCACCATAGTTCTCCTTGAAGAAAGCAACAGAATCCCAATAAAGGAAGCGTGTAAGGTAGGGATACCCGATCTCTCCAATGCTATTCACCATGTGTTTACAGGAGGTTTTCATGGCCCTAGATTGGGAAGAGTTAGAAATAAGTGTTAATGTAGAATATTTTAGTAATATGTGATGCGCTGATGGCACTGCCTTGATGAGTAACTCAGGAAACGAGTTACAGCTCATGATTACAGAACTTGACACGGAAAGCAGAAAAGTAGGGTCTTAAATTTAATATGCACAAAACTGAAGTAATGTGCAGCAGTCACGGCAGAAAACAGCACTTTGCGGTAGGTGGAGAGATGCTGGAAGTTCTAAAGGAATACTTCTACTTAAAACAGGTAGTAACCACGAAGCCGAATCAAGAGAGTGAAATAACTAGAAGAACAAGGATGGGGTAGATCACATTCGGCAAGCATTCTCAAATCATGAATGGTAATCTGGCACTAACCCCCAAGAGAGTGTTATATAACAGTTGCATTTTGCCAGTCGGGACTTACCTACAGAGCAGAAACCTAGAAGCTTACAAAGAGGATTCAGCTCTTATTGAGAACGACAGAGCGATGATAGGCGTAACCTTAAAAGACAAGAAGAAGGCAGAATGGCTCAGGGAACAAATTGTGGTTAAGGATATCATAGTTTAAATCAAGAAGAAGACATGAACATGAGCCGGGCACGTAGCACGTAGGCAGGATAACTGCTGGTCCTTAAAGGGGTCATGAAATCGTCACCCAACAATTGATTGATATGTGGGGTTTAACGTCCCAAAACCACTATATTTTTGGCGAAAAATGAAGATAGAGTGTCATGTATGCTTGTACACGTGTGAAACTGGACTGTAAGAAATTATTTCAGTCCAAAATAAGCTGTAGAAGTAATCGGCTGTAAACTCTGCCCACCGCCAGTGACCGGCATTTTGTCATGGCATTCATGATGTCACAAGGCGAAGGAGCAGTGTCGTCGCCTGTTACCAAACAGCACCTTGCGCACGCTGTAAGTGTTGCTTACCGCGTGGTCCGCACGTATCAGTAGGTTGCAAGTGTTGCGGTGTGTTACCGGTACCATCACTATATGCGGCGACGACGTTGTGTACGTAGCGCATTTTGACATTCACTCCATCGCCACTAGCTCAAGCGACAAGAAAGTGTCGAAGACCGTGTGTGCCAAGGTGTCAAGAACCTCGCCGTCGTGGCAGATGTTGCAGACAGCTTGCTGCAATGATAAGTAGCTTAATTTCAAGCATGTCAAGTTGAAAAGTGAGCTTGGGATACGGGGGTCCGTCGATGCTGCATTCACAAGCAAGTGTTCCTGTGAATGTTCCCTGCCACTACTACAAATAAATAGTTATTACAACTACGAATGAATAGTTATTGAAACTCCTTGCAGGCAGTGCCGTGGTTGAGCGTCACACTTGCTATTTTTTTTTTTACTGGAACCGAATGCAATCAGTTCAAGCAAAGATTCGGCTAAAATATATATAACGAGTAACCCTAGCGCCACACTGACATGCTGTTGGCTTCGGCTTATGTTTACAGGTGCAGCACGCAACAACCAATGAAAAAACAATGATCCCAACACGCAGAATCGCTACGGTTACTTATTTATTATGTTCAGCAATGAAAGTCATGCAAGCATGTATGCTGGCCAACAGAAATCTGCACGCTTTGCTTGCTGCAAGTACAAGTGCTACATGGGTGACGCGGTGGCATTGTTCCAACCCCTGGAAGTCATTTAGTCTCTGTGGCAAGTTGAACAACACAGAAAAAGTTCAACTGCAAGTGCAGCTGACCACGGAACACGATCATCCTCCAGAATGCAGACCGTGCAGCAGCTCACCTGGCTCGCCCAACAAGCGGTTCGTGACGTCACGGCTAGCGAGCGCGCCAGTGTAGCCTAACTCTCGGGCCACTTGCTCGATTATAAATTAATAGCTCGATCAAATTCGCTCAAATTTTGTAAGCCTGTGTGTGAACATACAAAAATTAACCCACACAACACAGATTATGATTGAAAATCGGGTGTCATGACCCTTTTAAGGGTAACTGAACAGATTCCCAGACAAGGCAAATGCATGAAGGAGAGACAGAAAGTTAGGTGGGTCTATGAGATTTAAAAAGTTCGCAGAGATAATGTGATAACGGAAAGCACAGGACCAGGTAGATTGGTGGATCATGGGAGAGGCCTTTGCCCTGCAGCGAGCATAGATAAGCTGCTGCTGCAGCTGCTGCTGCTGATGATGATGATGATGGTCAGACATCTAAGGACCAACTAGTTAAGACAAAACTCAATCATAATTATTGAAATGGGACAGGTTGTAAAAAAGATTTAGTCAACACAAACCAAAAGTCATTTTAATCAGTAGTATACAATTAAAAGAGACATGACAGGAAGCGAAACACAGAACTAGCATGAAGCTCGTGTACATTGACTTGACAAGTGTATTGCACCAACCTTATCGTGACGAAGTTTTCTGAAGAACTATGCTGTGTTTTATTTTTCAAACACTACAATCAAGCTTGAGCCTCTTTAAGAAGTATGAAAAAAGACACTTTGTTACATCAGCCAAACTGGGTATGCTGCAGTACATATACATAAATAAATGAAAGATGACATAAAACTTAAGATAATATTATAATTTCTCACAGCTGCTACAACCGAAGGCACCGCTCCGAACAAAGAAATGTCCCTAATGATGTAAACCATTTTCCGACTACTTATGCCTTTTGGCCACATCAGTCGCAAGGCTGCAAACATCTGAAATTATTGCACCATAACAGCGTGACTCAAATGGTTAGCTCTGAAATGCACGCACTTCTTGTCACATAAGGTGACCGAACTTCGCACTAGGGCTCAACCCAGTCAAGTGGAGGCTGACTCTTTCATTTACAAAACGCACTCGGCTCTTGGCAACAACGCTTCACTGGCATAGCATACCTCCTCACATCAATGGTTGTGAAATAAGAATTTCAATCAGTAATCCTCCACTGACCAATGTTTCAAAAAACTGCAAGTATCCTGCAGGAAGTGTTATATACTTAGGAACAGTTCTTAACACAGGCATAGGTAATTCACACCAGGCAGAGCTTGTGAGCGTGCCTGCGGACAAGTGAAAAGGGAAAGAACTATTCAAAATTTCTAAAGCCCGAGACACTATATTCTGTGACAGTGAGGAACATTATTGCATAACTTATGCCAACAACCAGACACCCGTGAATGTGGAAAATTACCTAATAAACATCCATAAATTAGTTTTTATAGAGAAAAAAGAGGACACAATGAAAATGAAGACACCACAGGTCTGTTCATCTCTTCTGTGAATCAACACAAAGCCAAATAGGCTGGCCATCTTCTGCAGAGAGCAGTGGCGAAAATTGTGGAGAGGGTTTGTAGCAACAATGCTTGACTATTAGCATTGCAACATTGTGTGCCTGCTCTGCCTATGTTGGCAATCGTCTGCATGTCCTTAATACTTCCAATTGAGAAAATTAACCTTTTGTTTTAAAAGGGCGGACTGTTGGGGGAGTTGGTGTTCGTACATAAAAATCATCGTAGGGCAGTGCAACGACAGTGCGTGGCAAGCACAGCCCAGAAGACACCACTGCTACTAGCAATGCCAATTCAAAAAAATTATAGTGTGTTACCATTCTAGGAAACCAGTTTCGAATTTACTTTGTGCACCGCATCACTGCACATCAAGCGAAGGCAAGACCTCAGGTTGTTCATCAGTGACACTTAAGAGGTGGCAAATATAGACAGAAATTGTAGCCAGTAGGCAACGAACAGTTGTGAGAACACGTCAACACTGCACTGTTACTTGCAACAGAACCAGCTCAGGTATTCACAGCTACAGGCAAGGCCACACGTGCAGTATCTATCGAGGATGTGGTGCTTCGGACACCATTACTTACATACGGAAGATTGCCGAAATGTCACTGTCGCATGCCTGTGTTGACTGGCATGCAGAACGAAAGTAATAATCATGCATCAAAAGCTGGTCCCATCAGGAAGCAACAATCCTTGCACAGTTCTGACGAGTGGAAACACCAGCTGTCGAAACATTTCGTCAACATAACTGAGCTGGACACACCCATCGCGGGGGATGTGGCCACACCAGCAGGCTCATTCCACACAGCAGTAGGTGACCTCTGATGGCATTCACTGTCAGCACCGCGTCACTCGACGGTCCTCGGGCACTCCTGACGATGACAATTCTTCGTGACCATGCTGCTGTGATTGCTGCTGTCCAAGCAAAACAAGATTCGCCGCCCGCAGGCGTGCCAGCGTAGCAGCACCCCCGAGAATTGAAGGTGATGGACTGATGCAAGGTGTGGAGCAGCGAGAGTTAGTCAGGTCACACTGTTCCAAGAGGCGCAACAGTTCTCTGTGGCTGGGGCCTCCGTCATGCACAAAAGCTGCAGGGTAGGAGAGTGTAGTGTTAGCTTACACACAAATAGTGCGGTCAAGTTATGATGTAGAATACATGTTGTCACAATAAAGGCACAAAGCTAACACAAACCTGGGACACAACCTTCACTCTGTTTCCCAAGTTATTAAATAGGGTGCTGTTTTTCACACTTATTTGAGATTTTGTAGGTATGTTTTAAAGAGGTTTCACTCGATATTGAGCATTGACTTACATCTTTCAATAACAGAACCTAAAAATAACAATTCTTGTTATTCCAAGTTATTAAAATGATAAGGTATGCACCCAACTGTCTCTTCATACTGTTCTTAAAGAGCCCGTAAACCACTCAGAGGAGGAAATTCAGTTGTGGTGGGGAAATTGTGCATGGGTGTACGACGAACACGGAGCTGTGAGTATTTTTCAAAACGGCGCAGTAATAGGGGAGTTAGACGTACTTGATTATCAAAACAGTGACGACCCCACTTTCACTCTCTTCTGCACTTCCCTCCGCTGGTATCCTCTCCCACACTGCTTTTCCCTCTTGCCAAGCACCCCTCCCAATCTCACATGGCATACATCATCGCTGACGTGCTGCTTGAAACACTGTCTACTTCCGGTTGTCGCGACTCCGGCCACCAACTCCGTCAGTTACGTTGTAGCTGCGTGCTTGTTGGCAAACCATGGCTGCCATAATCGTGCCGGTATGGAACCTGCGTTGTGCACATGCTTTCAAAGGATTGCCAACACGATGGACCCGTACGGGGACACGCTGTTCCCTGCACATGTTGCATGCACGCGGGCAACACGACGAACAACAAGCAGCATGGAAAGCTGCTTGCAGACCGATCAGAAGTTGTAGGCTCTTGCTTGACTATTTGCAGCATATTTGGCATGTTTTGCTCGGCACGTCAGACATGTGGCACGGCGCTTCACGCGGTGGCCCGAAAGGCCTGGAAAGAAGGAGGAATTGTTTCTTGGTATTTGTGGTGCGCCAGCAGCTCGTAGCGCTGCAACGTGTAGAATTGTTGATCGCAACAGCATTCTGCACATGATGCGTCCGTTCACGTGAAATGCTTGAAAAAATATGGGAGGTAGTTTACAGGCCCTTTAACATGTCAAGTTGCACACAGAAGTGAAACTTAGTCTGCAGAATGCTTTCTCGTCTTTCTCATTTAATGCAAACTTCTTGATAATCTGCTATGCTCATAACATGCGCACGTAGTCTTCCACTGAACAGACATGTTATTATATCAAGCTTTTCATATATTCAAATGTTCTGTGCCTATCTGCTTCATCGCAATGAATAATATTCACCAGTCATTAAAAAATTCTTGCATTAGTAACAGAGCAGTACATTGGCTAATGCACCTAACATGAATAAATAAAAACAGCTACGGCCCTACCTGGCTCTCGTTTTGATGCCAAGTCCAGTGCTGTAGTCAGGTCCCACATCTAAAGAGTAAAGAACGCACCACTATGTCAGCTGCATACAGAAATTTTGCGACTAATATCGCACCATACCTTGCATGCAATAATGCACAACACTGACTAAAGTACACATTTGGGTGAAGACCAAATTGGCACAGATGCAAAGATCCACACTTTTTACTGACATCAGGTGCAGTATGGTTTGAAGAGGTACTGGTACCTTTTTTCAGAGGCGAGTTTACTCTGCCATACTAGTCTCCTGTATAAAGAGAAGGCTCTGAGCAAGTGTGACGCTCAGAAAATAATGATATTTTATTGTGATATTAAAACCAGGTTTCTCGTGGCGCACCTACCGACATTGACACCAACTTGCCAATAGGCTTCAGAACTAATCCTGGTGAGTTCACGCAGCAGTCTGGCTAGTTGTGATGATGACAAGCCCCAAAATTCTGCTTCTGAAATGCTGCGGTTGCTCGAATTGCCTACGCTGGCTTACCACCGGAAAGTAGGCCGACTTAAATTTTTTTTGTCATCAAAAAAACACCTCAATATTGAAACTAGACATTATCTTGTTCTAAAGCCCGCCAACAATGTCAGATCTAGCAATAAACTTGTGTTTTGGGTTTCGAAATGCAATCTTGATGGATACGCATACTATTTTTTTTCCACGAATGATAAAATAGTGAAATAAGTTTGAAGAGCATCGAAAGATTTCAAGGGTGCATTAAAAATATAACGTAACACTTAGTATTGGGTGCGAGAACATACCATGGCGCCACTATACGGAGACATCCCTGTGACGTGCATTGTTCGATTGCTCCGCCGCCCTCCCGCGCGCAGCCCACAGCCACTTTTGCGTCTTTTTTTATTATTATTCTTGCTGTACTTCACTCAACAAAATTAGTAAAATACTGCTGGAGCTTTTTCCCTGACTTCATGAAGTGCTAGATAACTGCCCCGGAAAAGCGTTGTACTGCTCGTAATGCCTGACTGCTGGTGTCGTCTGATATGGCCACCGAAATGAAAACTACGGAGGCCGAGCGCGCTGTTTCGGTAAAAGGTAACGAGTCATTCGGTGTCGAAATGAAGCATCGAATAGGTATTAATGGTAAAGAAACTTATCTTTGCTGCAATAAATGCGTGCAACCACTATTTCATTCATTGTAGGTTTGCATCTAAAGATGGGCCGCGATTAACCTGACAAGCACGGGCAAATTTAGTTTTGTTTAGCATACATAGCCCTACGAAGCACAGCGCAAGCAGATTCCCCACTTTGTAAGAAGCAGCACAGCATTCCTACAGCCGCAATCTTTCTGTTATGATTGTGGTCAAACGTGAGAACCATGCAAGTGCGTGCCTCATTCAGAGCTGTAACTTTTCTCTGTGGCACGACTCTAATATTTATTGCCCAAAATTTCTATGGTGGTCACTCATTGCACATTAGATCACCATCTATCCACACATGGGTGAAAACGAATTATGAATGGTTGGGTCAGTTCCTGAGCTTCTAACAAGAGGAAAATAGTGTTAAAAAAATGCGATCAGTCAGCCATATCATTTTGCACCCTTGAAAGCTGTGAGGTTTTGTGTACCGTGATCTAAATGGCAATTTCATGTTTCAAAGAAATTGCCAGTGTCGAGCTTTTTTTTTTACAGCTTCATTGATAAGCTGTGTGATATTTAGCGGCAGATCTTTAAAGATGAATCAGTTTTCGAAGCTGACCACTATTTCGCTTGTAGATCAAAACAGCATTTCTGAGGAAGTGACAGTGGCTATGGGCTTGTTCTACAGGCTGAACCTATAAGCGAGGAACCCTGTGAGCTGAAATCGCAGATGGCAGAGGCACTGGCAGAATTTTTTTTGAAGGGGGCACCACCTTGAGTAGAATAGGGCGCGAACAAGCAGGTGTGTTAGACTATTATTTTGTGCGCTATACACCATGGAAAAAAATGGGAAGGGGGGCTTGGTGTGCCACTCCCTGGCTACGCTACTGGTGCATGCAAACCCACGTAATCAGGTACACACTTCAGGCAGACAGCCAGAAAGGAGGGTGGGAGTGGCACAGGTTGCGGTTAGTTAACCTTGGCGAGAAAAGTAAGCTTTAGCAAACACTGGTGCAGCACATGTATGTAGAAGGTTTCTTTGAACGCGCTGGCCGAACACGCAGAAGGAACTGGCCACAAATAGACCAGAATAGGGTAAAATTAATAAAAAACAAAGGGGAAACCAACTGGATTTCTGGGCTATATTTTGACTCTCTGACAATTCAGACAATGGCGCACAATCTTGAATGTAATGAAGACAACTTCCCCCACATTCACACACATACGTCCTATTTTAAAATATATATATATATTCAGATTGTTCACACTGTATTGAAGAAGAAGAATACATAGAGGAATACTATAGCATTAATGAAAGGGTGGTAGGTATCGTAATTAAACTGAATAAAAGATACAAGATTAAGGTAGTACAGGCTTACGCGCCTACATCCAGCCATAATGACGCTTCAGTTGAAAGCTTCTATGGAGATGTGGAGTCAGCAATGAGTAAGGTAAAAACACAGTATACTATAGTGATGAACGACTTTAATGCAAAGGTAGGGAAGAAGCAGGCTGGAGACCAGGCAGTAGGAGATTATGGCATCAGTACTAGAAACGCCAGAGGAGAGCTACTAGTACAATTCGCAGAACGCAATAATTTACGGGTTTTGAATACCTTCTACCGAAAACGAGAAAATCACAAGTGGACATTGAGGAGCCCTAATGGCAAAAATAAGAACGAAATAGACTTTATAATGAGTGCACACCCAGGAATCATGCAGGATATGGAAGTGGTTGGCAAGGTACGATGCAGTGACCATTAAATGGTACGGTCTCAAATTCGCCTAGACTTGAAGAACAAACGACAGAAACTGATACGCAAGAAGCCAATCAATGAGCTAGTACCGAGAGAGAAAGTACAGGAATTCAGAGTGTCGCTGCAGTACAGGTACTCGGCTCTTAGTGAGGAAACCAATCTTAGCGTAGATACAATGAATGATAATCTGACGAGTATCATTGCGGAGTGGGCAGTGGAAGTTGGAGGCTGGGTAGTTAGACAGGACACCGGCAAGCTTTCCCAGGAAACGAAGAACCTAATTAGGAAGCGTCAAATCATGAAAGTGTCAAGTACAACAGACAAAATAGAACTGGCAGAGCTTTCGAAGTTGATTAATAGACGTAAGGTATGCAATGTAAGAAGGTATAACATGGAGAGAATTGAACACGCTCTGAAAAACGGAGGAAGCGTCAAAGCAGTGAAGAGGAAACTTGGGATAGGCAAAAGTCGGATGTATGCACTAAGGGACAAAGAAGGCAAAATAACTACCAATATGGATAGGATAGTTAACATAGCGGAGGAGTTTTACAGAGATCTGTACAGTAGCTGAGACAACCACGACCTTAATACTATAAGAACTAGCAGTAACGCAGATGACACCCCACCAGTAATGGTAGAAGAAGTCAGAAAAGCTTTGGAGAGCATGCGAAGAGGCAAAGCTGCTGGTGAAGATCAGGTAACATCAGATCTGCTGAAAGATTGAGGACAGACTGTGTTAGAAAAACTAGCCACCCTGTTTACGCGGTGTCTTCTGACGGGAAGAGTACCAAAGTCTTGGAAGAACGCTAACATCATCTTAATACATAAGAAAGAAGATGACAAGGACTTGAAGAATTACAGGCCGATCAGCTTGCTCTCTGTAGTATACAAGCTATTTACAAAGGTAATTGCTAACAGAGTAAAGAAAACAAAATTCAATCAACCAAAGGAACAAGCAGGATTTCGAACAGGCTACTCAACAATTGACCACATTCATACTATCAATCGGGTAATAGAGAAATGCTCAGAGTATAACCAACCACTATACATAGCCTTCATAGATTACGAGAAGGCATTTGATTCAGTAGAAATATCAGCCGTCATGGAAACATTGCGGAATCAGGGCGTAGATGAAGTATATATAAACATTCTGGACGAAATCTACAGGGGATCAACTGCTACCATAGTGCTTCATAGAGAAAGCAACACAATACCAATCAAGAAGGGCGTAAGGCAGGGGGACACAATCTCCCCAATGCTATTTACCGCGCGCTTACAGGAGGTTTTCAGAAGCCTAGAATGGGAACAGTTAGGGATAAGAGTTATTGGAGAATACCTTAGTAACCTGCGCTTCGCCGATGACATTGCATTGCTGACTAACTCAGGGGACGAATTGCAACTCATGATTATGGAGTTAGACAAGGCAGAAAGGTGGGTCTTAAAATGAATCTGCAGAAATTGAAAGTAATGTACAACAACCTCGGAAAAGAGCAGCGCTTCGAGATAGGTAATAGTGCACTTCAAGCTGTAAAAGACTATGTCTACTTAGGGCAGGTAAGAACCGCAGAGCCGAACCACGAGATTGGAGTAACTAGAAGAATAAGAATGGGGTGGAGCACATTCGGCAAGCACTCTCAAATTATGATAGGTACATTACCACTATTCTTCAAGAGGAAGGTATATAACAGCTGTATCTTGCCGGTACTTAGCTACGGAGCAGAAACCTGGAGACTTACAAAGAGGGTTCAGCTTAAATTGAGGACGATGCAGCGAGCAATGGAAAGAAAAATGGTAGGTGTAACCTTAAGAGACAAGAAGAGAGCAGAGTGGATTAGGGGACAAACGGGGGTTAAGGATATCATAGTTGAAATAAAGAATAGGAAATGGACATGGGCCGGGCATGTACCGCGTAGACAGGATAACCGCTGGTCATTAAGGATAACTAACTGAATTCCCAGAGAAGGGAAGCGGGTTAGGGGGAGACAGAAGGTTAGGTGGGCAGAAGATGAGATTAAGAAGTTTGCGGGTATAAATTGGCAGCAGCAAGCACAGGACCAGGTTAACTGGCGGAACATGGGAGAGGCCTTTGTCCTGCAGTAGACGTAGTCAGGCTGCTGATAATGATGATGAAGGAAAAGAAGAAGAGTGGCCTCAGCGGCACTGC